CTGCTCTGTTGGGAGGACAGAACCACTGGCAATAAAAGGACAGAGATCATTTGCATTCAGGATTCCAGAGATGCGTTTCACTCCAGTATCTGCCCTCCCTCCTCCACCACTGTGTTCATTTTAAAATTTCCTGCCCTAGCCATCATTCGGTCTCCTTTTGCTGAGAGACAGGGCGTACTTTTCCCTTTTACAAGGAGGCAGAAATCCCTGGAGCTGTTCAAAAGCTGATCCAGCTCCACAGTGTGATAAAGTTGAATTACTAGAGGAATTTTTTTTTTTTTTTTTTACAACGGCGGAAATGAAAAAGTAAACAAGACTGGGACTTGTATTGGTATTTAGGCTCCGGCTTCTTGTTGTTGTTTTTGTCTTTTTCTGTTTCTGTTTCTGAGCATTGGGCCAGGAGCCTGAAGGAACCATATAATATGAAAAACCCTGAGAGGTTTTATTAGCCAATAAAAAAAAAAAAAAAAAACTTATTTCCTATTAACCACTTAACTCCTTACTAAAGCTGGGCGCTTGCTTCCTTCCAAGATAACTTCCGGGCCTCTCGTGCCGCAAGGCTACAACAGTGGTCCACCAACCTCTCCCTGCACAACCTGTGTTCACATTTACATTCCAGGAGGTGTGGCTGAGCTCAGATTCAACAGCAACCTCTGCGTTTCTCATCTTTGAAGCCTTCACGGAGACTTCCATAGAGACAAATTTTCTCTGACCCACTATGCCAAAAAAGAAAAAAGACCCTAAATGACTCTGCTTAAAAAAAAAAGGACCTAAATGCTCTGCTTAAAAAAAAGGAGCCAACTCATTGTGATTTCCATGATTTTAAATATTAAATAACTGCTGGAGAAAACAAAACCAAGCCCGGCCAGTCCTGGAGTATAGAATGAGCCTCACGTTTGAGAAAAGAATGAAGAGAGAGAGAGAAATAGAAAGTGAAACTGGTTGTTTTGCAGCAAAGATTGGATGGAAATTTTTTTCAGGACTTAATTTAGGAAGGAAAGGACTTCAAAGGAGATCCAAATCATAAATATCACTTTATTAATTCCCCCACTATTGCATGTGTCACGTGTTTTGTTGTTAACTTTTTGCTGTTTTTTAATCATCTTACATATTTATGTCAGTGCATCACGCAGTGGTACCTCTGCATTCTTGGTACTCCCACCTCTCAAGCTCACCCTCAAGTTCTGTAGCTGCTACTGCATCTCTGACCCCCTGGCCCCTCTCTCCTCCTTCCCTTCCCACACTCACACTGACTCTGGTACCCTGGGTGCTCTGAGGGAGATTTGCAGAGCATAAAGCCACACACAATCTGGTTGCATTTTTACTTCTGCTGCTAATTTCAAACTGGGACAGCAAGCGTTACTGCTTGAAGGGCTGCGGTAGAGGAATTTTGGTTTTTATTTTTTATTTTTATTTTTTTTTTTTTTAAAAAAAAGCATTTTATGGGGCTGGGGATTTAGCTCTGCTGCACAGCACCTGCCCAGCAAGTGCGAGGTCATGAGTTCGACCCTAGGTACCAAAAAAAAAAAAAAAGCATTTTACTATATGTTCTTGATTCTGTGATAGGAACATCAGGCAGGGGACATTCTCCCCTTCCTAGTGGCTGTTTAGCGAGACAGCATGCCGTAGGAAGATAGAATCAAGAAGCCAGCCATGTTTGCAATGCTAAAACAGAATGCCAGGGTTTCAAAAAAAAAAAAAAACAAAACACCCAACAGGCACTGAGAGGGCAAACATCGAACATCGCGGCAACAAGGTAATGAGAAAATGAAGTAAGTTTTGGTGAAAGTTGAGTTCCCAGAATTTTGTTCCCTCTGTCTTTTGACTGTCTGAGCATATGTGAACAGCAGGGCTGGAATGAGTCCCAAGGAGCTTTTGAATAAAGTTTTACAAAAATTACTGGCAACCTCTTACACATCAGCTTCCCCAGGTCCCCTCAACCGACATCACAAGGAGCAGCCAGGATCCCCTGTCCTCTCTAACAACTGATTTCAAGGAGATTAACTGCTTCTTCATCATAGGCAGGAGACTCTTTTGCAGAAATTGTTGGACTAACAAGAAACTGAGGCGAATCAGTGCTGCACCAGGAGCATGTTCATGTAGGCGGTGAGCCTTGGCTTTGCCTAGACAGCTGCACAGGGGCCCCTCTCCCTCTTCCTCTGGCCGTGCTGCCCCTGGAGGTGTGTATGTGCACACCCAGGTGTACACATACACACACACACACACACACACACACACAATCCTACCCTGTGCTTCTTCAGTGGTATTTGCTAAGTTGTGGTCCACAGTTGTTAAGTTTTTAAAATTTCATTTCTAAGGCATCCAGATTGAAAAGCTACAAAGAGGTTTATCAGGGTACCCAGGGAGGGTGCTGAGGAGGTGAAAGATTCCCTTGCCTTTGCTCAGAGACCGTAATTTAAAATCACAGCAGTAGCTCTCCATACCTTAGTTGCACCTGGTCTTTCTTAAACACTTGTTCTAAGGTCAAGGAGATGATCCACAAAGGAAGGGTGAGGAAGGACTGTGCCTACACCCCAGGTACCAACCAAGATACAAGTGGGACTGTTTTGTCACTTGCACATTCACTGTACCCATGCCCAGAGAGCTCTGCCCTGCAGGAACCATGACCAACAGAGGTGTGAGTCTGCCTGGATTTCATAAGCCAGCCAGCCTTCTCCCACTCCCCTTCACCAAAACTGCAGCAGTCTGGCAAGCTGTTCTCTATCTCTCCAGGGGAACTTAGACTCATTGCAATAGTGGTCTCTAAAATGAGTATCAAAGACTGGGACCGAGAGGCCACTTGATTGGACTGTCTTGCTAACCTGCGTATCCAGGCGGAGGTGGTCCCTCTGTCTCTGCAGTGGCTCCTGGCCAGTTTCTGGGGAATGACAATTGGTAAGACCCACTCTCGGGTCTGTGAAAGAGGGCTTCCTCAGCATCCTCCCTCACCCTTCAGACTGTTTTCAAATCCCATAAATATAAACATGTGGCTCTTCAACCACATCTGCAGATAATAACTTCAGGGGGCTTCCTGTTTACATGGCAGTACCCATTTCCCAGCCAAATAAACTGTAATGGAGAGCAAAGGTGTTTATTGGGCCAGTCTCGGCTGGGATTGAGTTAACAGCAAACACCCACTCTTGCACAAATGTTGGTTAAATATTTGGGACATGAGGGGTCGGAAACCTTACAGAAACTGCTTTCTTCTTCCGCCTGCCATTTCAGTGAGAAACAGCAGCTGTGATCAGCATGGCCAGCCAGTCCTGACCATGCCCAGCTCTGTGCACTGCTCTTGGTGTGGATGAGGAAGCCAGGAGAGTCTCAGGACACACCCATGCCTCAGGGTCCATTGGAGAAGGGATGGAAAAGGTCCACGCACACTCACCGCTGGGAAGCCCTTCCAGTCTCCCGCCTAGGGACCTGTGTTAATGACTGCTGAATTTTTCTATCAGCCCTGTCAATAAAGCCTGGCCTAAGAATTGACAGAGCTGCAAGCCCAGTGGTTCTCAATCATTGGAGACCTTGCCCCCCAGGGGACATCTGGAAATGTCTGGACTGGGAGGTCCTCTTAGCATCTGGAAGGCAGGTAGGGGCTGAGGATGCTGCTAACCACCCTATACTGCTAGAACAGTACCCTGACACACACAGGCACACAAGCAGCAGTTTTCCAGCCTAATATGTTAACAGCACCAAGGCCTAGCACAATGTCTTTTTACAAGCCCAGAAGCTGAGACCCAAGAATAAAGTGATCTGCCCTGTATGTGCTGCTGGGCAAAACAGAGCCCAGGGGTCTACACCACCTCCGTGCGGATGCCTCTTAAAACCACATGTTTGATTTTAATAAGTAAATAAATATATATCCTGGAAGAGTTGCCAACAGTGACTTCAGAACAGCTCCTAGCCTAAGAAATTAGCTGTTTCCAAGGTTTCTCAAAAGCCAGTGCCAAAAGACTAAGACTGAACAGACCCTCTTTAAATTATCTATACCTCGGGTTTCTCTTACACTAGGGAGACAGATCTTTGGTAAGTGGGAAGGGAATCTTGAGATGGAGACGGGGAAGAGGCATGAAAAGAATTATGTATGTGTATGACTTCTTCATGATGAGTATGATCATACATACTGCAAACATTACTAAAAATAAAAATAAAAAGAAGGAAAAAAAGAAAGCACAGAGCCTCTGAAAGGAGGTCTCTATGCTCTGCTTTCTCTTCAGACTATATGAACACTTCACCCTTTTTTTAAAGGACAGCTCTGCCTGTCAGTATGATGTGGGCCACCATGGCCAGTGACCAAGATTCTCTGCACCCTGATTTCCTGGGTCCCCCAGTTAGCATCGTGGCAAGCCAAGGCATACAGAAAGCACAGGACAGAAAGAAAACGACGTTTACCCCAGGCCCTCAGCCTTACTGTGGGGGAGGGACTTACCAAAAGTAAACAATGGCCAAGAGAAAGTATCGTAGAAATCTTCTGAGAGTAGAGCCCTCCAGACTCACAGCCAATCTTACTCCTCCCTGGGCTTTGGTTGGTTGAGTTTGTTTGTTAGAATCCAAAAGAGATATGGGAAGGAAAATAGACAAATGCCCTATTTATCTGAGCTGCTCAGACTCTCCTGACTTCTACTGTGGCTGCCTTGCTGGTGTCCTGCATGTTCCCAGAGATAAGAATCATAAGACCATCCCAACCATACCCACTGATGGGTGCCCTGAGTGGAACAGGGGTTTGGCCTAAAGCCAGCATGAACACTCCTACCTTCAGACACAGGCTAAGGCCACCGGTTCACTGAGAGATCTTTGAGGGCCCAGCACTCTTAAGAAGTAGGACCAAACAAGAACACAGAGCTTAACAAGAATTTGTTCCATCTTGCCATTAACTTTGGATCTCTGCTTTTATTGGGCCCTGGTAAATCCTAAGACAAAGCAGTGCCCAGGTGGGGGCAGGAGTAGGCACCAGACCAGAGAAGAAACCGCCGATGAGAAAAGACCCAATGTACACACATAACAAAACCAAAAAAAGCCATTTTATTGAAAATTAAATTCAAACTTCAAATTAATATTACAATCATGAGAAAAATGCCAAATAATTCAATTTACAATTGCAACATACAATACAAATAGTCCCTTTGAAGTTAAGAGTAAACTCATCCACATCGTGACCTGGGGCACAAAGCAGAATTTGTACAATATGTGCATGGGAAGCAAATCTTGGGCAATAGCAATTGGAAAAAATAAAAATGAAAGCTTGTATTTACACAAAATGCTACAAATATTTTTGTTCCACAGAAATCTAAGAATGGTAACGCATATCCAAAAGAAATTGAATTTTATTCAGAATACCTAAGAAATTACTGTAAGTTATGGTTTTGGCTGATATATTTAGAAGTGTACTGTATTAAAAAGCAAACAATTATTTGTAAACATGAAGTAAACAAACAACTAAAAAATTCTCACATAGAAAGTATTTTTTTTTAGAAATGCATTTTCTTTTTAAGAACAACAAATTCAAGGTTTGGAAAAGCCATCTTTTATTTTGTTTGTAATTGCTCTTTCAAACACCATGGGAATAATGGTTATTTTGCTAATGCTATAAAATTACCATGTTCAACCTAGATTTGGGGTCTATCCCTGTCCTCAAGAATGAAGGGAACCCCTTAAATCAGAGCACTCATCTGAACCTGCAGTGCACACTCAGTCCCTAATGCTGTGGTTTTCTTCCTTTGCTCACTTTTAAAGGGCCTTGACCTGAAGGATGAGAAAGTTTCAAGAGTGATCAACAGTTAATCCATTGAATTTTTCACTTTCACATTGAACATCATTCTATTCATCTAAAACCAAACTGTAGTACCTGTTCTGGAACTCTGACATAGGTTAAAGTTTGTAAGACAAATGAGGTACATCTCTCTTTTTAAAATATGTGGCTGCATTGGTTATACTGTAAATTCCAGCAACATCTGTGTCATACCAAGAACCACGTTAATTTAATCCTAAGGCAGGAAGGTCCTAATACATGGTCCCTAGCAGTAGGAAGACTGCTTTGGTCTTGAAATCACAAATCATGCACGTGACCAAGTACAAACTGAGGGAGGGAGGGATGGAAAGAGGGAAGGAGAGAGAATATGAATATTAATTCCTAGGCCATAAAAGGGACAGAAATTTGTTCTAAAAATGTGAACTGCCCTATTGGGGCAGTTGGAGGGAGGACAGAGAGAAGTGCTTGAATGTTTCCCAAGGAAAAAGACTTTTAAAGTGTTTCTGGGTTGCTGCCTGCAGCCACGCTAATAACATTTCAACATTAAAGCATCCCTATAGTCACTTAATATGTGTACTGTAAACTTAAAAAAGCCCTTTTAACATTAAAAAATAATGTACAAATATAGTACCTTTTTTATTAAATAGGGTGCAGCTGGTACCGGTGGTAACATTTTTATGTCAATTAATTAAAATTGCAATGTGTTACCAGACACTGGCTTTTTTAAGTGCTGCTGAAACAAACACATATTTTATACTTACAAAGAAATGGACAGTGGCATGCTTCAAGCCACCACACACAAATAATAAATAGCATCAACTACTACTTCCATCTTACTCAGGTAATAGAAAAGTGGCTTATTTATCTAAGCATACTTTGTATACAACCTTTAGAAGGCAAAGTGTTTCCCTTTGTTTCTCCTCAACTTGTATTAGATGGAGTCGGGATGAATTCTAAGGGAGAGAGATGGTCACTGGACACACCCAGGTTTACCTGGTCTGCAGCTGTCCCATGTGCATGGTGGCCCTGAGAAGGACTCCAGTTCAGGGTATGTCGGGTCAGAGCAAATCTCTGCAGAGTTCTGCTCAGGAGAGCACAGGGCTCAAATGAAGGCACCTTGATTATCAAGGGAAGAGGGCATGGATTTGCCTGGTGGAGTCATTATATGATCCTGACTTGGATCAGTTAAGGACGTGCACTTGTGAACTGGCCATGTGGGTGCCAGGAGGGGCCAAAGAGCAACTTGCAGTAGGGCTGTAGCTCAAACTCATAGACAGTGGGGCGGGGGGGACTCCACACCCCGATGCCTTTGACCCGGCCATCATGTAAATGCAGATGTCAAAGGCCGTACTGGGTCCCCGCAGGCTCTCTGTCCTCTCCCATCAGCCACTCTCTGGAACTGGTTGCTACTTAGAGTGCCCAGTTCCCCCTGGAACAATCAATTACTTCACTGTGCTCCTTTAAATGCAAATTCTGTGGAGAGCTGCAAATGGGGCTTGAGTAAGGCAGATTTTGGGTTCCCTTGGTTTACCGTGTGGTAAGGCTGGTTGGTGAAGAATCCATGGGGTAATTTTGCATTCCTGCACCATGCACATCATGGCTGATCCTTTAGCCACATGTGTGGCTTTATAAGCTATGTCTTCACTACGAAGCATGGCGATTTTTAGAGTTTTGCTTAACTTTGAAACCACAGAACACTTTCCTGCAGTTGAATGATTCACTTGTGCTTGTCTGTTAAATATGACGAGTAATAATTATCCAAAAGAAATTAGGAAACCACATCATGCCAGCATTTTATGCTGAGAAAGGGCAACAAAAGTGATAAAGGGCTAAGGGCAGTTTTTAAAATCCCTATTATTGCTTTAAAAGGCAAAGCTGTGTAGAGGTGATCAAAGATCTGAAAAAGCTAAACATAACATTTCCTTCATACATTACAAAAACAAGCTACATCTAAAATATTTGGAGATGGAAGTACTTTTTTAAAAAATCACATTGTGCCTGGATGAACTGAAATTGCTTAGCAATATTTCAGATATGGCTCTAGCCCACCAAAGAAATTTGTTATTTAATAAAGAGCACTTTTAGAGACCGAAGTCAACATATCAATACACTAAGAAATGTTTCAAAGGTCCAAATGTCATTAAATAATTATAAATATATCTTTAAAGTTATATGACCATTCACGTTAGCAAGTTACCTCAGATTTTACACATATTCATAATTTAAAAAAAAAAAGAAAACAAATAACACACAGCCAAACGCAAACACTATATATACCATTATGGCTATAATAAGGTATTGCCATTTTCAGTTTCATATAAAAGGAGAAGGTGGGGTCTGAGGGGTGGGATTTCTTTCTGGTTAAATGGGAAAAGGAAGGAGTATAAAAAAGTAAAATAAAATAATCTATCCTGATCAGTATTTTTGAAGTCACTTTCTTAGAGAAGGAGAAAGAAATCTGAACTACACAGTTCACACAATTAGCTGCAGCAAGACTGAAACAGAGAGTGGCCTGGATGTTCTGCATGCACAGTGCCCGAAGGGCAGCATCTGCCCTGCCACTGGCCCCTCAGCGGGCCCTGTGACATCTTGGCACGCGGTCTACAGAGGACACGGTCCCCACACTGCTGTGACCGGGAGATGTGCAGCTTCCGGACACAAGGAGGAAGCAGCTCTGCTCTCCCTCCTCCTGAACCTTAGGCCACCTCTCTGACTTGGCATAAGAACAGGTTATTTAGGGTTACAGACCAGAGAACAACAATACCTTTTCCCTTGTGTGTTCCTTTGTAAAAAGTACATCTTAAATAGTAAACAATCTGAAACCCGCTTAGGATCGTCTCTCTTGGGCCTTCTACTTCTCAGTATCTACCCTCTTATGCTTGCAAGGTCGTGACTGGGTGAAGGAATGAAAGGTCTTCTAGCAAGTAGGCACTCTGTAGACAGCTAACCGATATACATATATATATGCGTTCTCTTTATATATGTATATGTTGACACGTGTGGGGTGTGGCCCCAGATACCACCAGGCCACGGCGGAGGAATCTCAATATGGTCGCCAAACGGATTCATCCATTCTGCCACTAGAATTCAAGACAGTTGGGGAACTGCTGTGGCTTCCGTCCGCGTCCACACCATCACTCTGGTTGGGCAGATTGGGGTTTAATAGCGTGCTGCCGTTGGCGGTGGTGGTGCACGGCGGGAGCATTCTGGAGGGAGACCGGTCTCCCCCTGGCACCACGGGGAACTGATAGGATCCCGACGAAGTGCCATAGTAGAGATATGGAGTGCTGCTGGTCTGGAAAGGTCCGCTCTGGCTTTGGGAGGAGCCGGGGTAGGGTGGTGGCAGGTAGGTGTGGTAGTGGGTGGTGGCAGACATACCGAGGGTCATGCCTGAGGTGACTGGCGGGGAATAAGTAAAGGTGGCTGGGTAGTGCATTCGTGGGTTGGAGAAGCGGCTCTCAGTGAGGGATGAAATGCTGGGGAACTGCCTGGGGTCTGAAAAAGGGCCCAGTTCTGAAGCACCTAAAAATTATAACAGAAGATGGGAGGGAAAATCTGTAAATATCAATTAAAATAATGATAGAATTTTTACAAGAAAAAAAAAAAGAAAGAAAACTTTAGCTTTCCCAAAGAAAAAAAAAAAAAGGAACAGCAAGCCACAAACAGACTTTCAAATGCACTGGTCACTTTACAATCTTTTTTTTTTTTCCACTTTATAGTCTTACCGGCATTTATCCTTAAGTTCTTCACCCCAAGACAATCTCAAAGGGCTTTAAAAACCCAGTTTGTGCCAGGTCCTATGCATATGCCCACCCAACGCTGGATCCTAAGGTTCACTCACCAGACTTTAAAGATCAAATCCTGACTGTTTTTATTCCCACCCCTCCTCTCTTTTGTTTTTTGCTGCACTTCAGATGTGTGAAGTGAAACTTTTACTAAGTCAGACGAGGTTATTTTTCTTAACCCAAAACGTTCGGTTTTATTATTGGTACTCTTGGCAGGGCTTTTTCGTCCACGAAGGGGAAAGAGAAAGATTCGCTAACATGTTCCTACCACTTCTTTAAAAAGAATTTAAAATCTTGCTGTAATCTTTGCCTTAGTAACAGTGACATCAAAACAGATTTCAGTGGAATCTGAAACTATCTGGCTGACTGGAGATGACGGAGAGAGTCAGGCACTCAGAAACCCTCCCTAGAGCCATAAACCAGGTCGTGGGTCCTGAAAGCATGGTCAGGGAGGACAGGGAGGCTTAGGACCTTAGCGATCATCACATTTCAAGACTTGATGGGAGATGTAGGCCCTGAGTCAGGCCAGGTGCCCACAGCAGCTCTGGCAAAAGGCTTACTACCTAGGGGAGACTGGAAGGTAGGCACCTCCCCACCCACCTACCAGGGGCCCTAGAACACATCCCAGAGAATCAGCTTCAGCTCAGTGTGAAGCAGTAACCTACACCCAAAGATGGTCGCCCCTAAAATGTGAACCCCTTTAAGTTCTCAAGCTACCGGTATGTCTCCTTAGCAGGTATTTCTGGTGCTCAGCTTAGGAAATCACAGTGACAAACCATTTCATGGAGAAATTAGTCTTCTGAAATGCCTAAAGACTTATAGTTATCATCTTTAACGAATGGGTTAATTGAAATTTCAAGTGACAAGCCCTTTCATAACACCAGTGTAGTTGTTTGATCCCTTCTAAAACCTTACAACTATATTTGCTTTTCCTATAGCTCTTCAGCTATAAGGGTAAGTACTGAGCAATTCTTGAAGACCCTAGTGAATAGCGTACTCCCTTAACTCGTTTTTATTCAGCCTTTGTTCTTGATACTATGATGTTTATTACAGATATAACCCTAATACTTGTCTTTGAAAGTGCTTATTAAAGGTTATTCATTTTTGTTAAAATGCACAGGGCTCATACTTTTTCATCAAATGCTAAGATTAAGTGCCAGGATGTGCATTTGTAATAACAAGTGACTGTTTACAAGCAATACAGAGTTAACAAGACTTTTTTCTCACAAATCGGACAGTACCAATCAGACAGCCCAGCCCAGCCCAGCCCTGCCCTGCCCAGCCCAGCAATCGTGAAAAGTCTCACCTGCCTGGCTCTTCTTACTGAGAGTGGAAGGCCAGAGGCAGAAGTCAGAGGAGGCAGTGTCATCATCTGTAAAACGAGGGGAGGAGCTCTAAGTTCCCTTCCAGGGCTAAGGTCCTAGGACCACGACTTCCAAGACAGCGGTAGGAGCAAGGGCCAAAGGGGAGAGGTAGACAGAGGTCCCATCCCTCATTAGTGCCTTCCCAGAACCCACAGGCCCATTTGCAGAGGGGGGGGGAGCAGGTGAACAGCCCCTGATATCTGAAGCAAATACTTTCAAGATGACAAACCAAAACCAATGCAGCCCCCATCCTCAAAGCACGTGGCCCTAACTCCTCCCCAAAATGAAGTTCTGATGAGTTACAAATGTGTATGTCCTGATTGTGGTAACATCAGAGGGGAGCGGATGGGCTGTGACACCCCCCACCCCCAACGCTGATGAGCACAGGTGCAGCCCAGAGGCACAGGTCATTGCTGAGTGTCCCCCAAAGAGTCCGGGAAGGAACCTGAGTCCACAGAGCTAATGGCTAGAGGCAGGGCACTTCCGGATATATTAAGCTCATTGTTCAGAGCACATGAGAAAATCCAGAATAACATGAGCAACTTAAAACAGGAAGAAGTTGCAGTTAAGATATCCATATTTGTCTTTCCACGAGGCCCACAGTTCACAGATAGCCGTGTTAATGTTGTTTTTTTTTTTTTAAAAAAAAAAAAAAAAAAAAAAAAGCTTCTCCTATGTATTTGTGCTTAAAATATACTGTAGAAATCATCAAAATTCCAAGCGGTTTCACTTATATTGATGCTGAAACCTCATTAAAATCCTCTATGTGGGGCCCTGCCAATAAACCCCAGTATGGTTTTGAATTTATAACCCTCCCACCTTCTTCTGTATTCAGCCTGATACACTTTGCTGATGTTTTTATTACCCATCGCATGCCCAGATCGCCGCACCTTTCTGGTTTATAGATGCTAGCTAACACAAATTGACATTCATTTTTCAATTAATGAGCTCTGGTTGTGGTTTATAGAAAACAATGCAACAAATTTCCGCTTGGTTTACATGACTTTGACCAATCACTTCCAGTTATTTGAGTCTGTAATGTCTTGGAGATTAACTCTTTCTTGACAACGCAAACTAAAGTGGACTTTAAAGAGCTCCTAGGGTAATTTTGATAAGTTATAAATCATAGAACTTTTAGAAATTTAGTCATTTTACATTACTAGAGACTATTTCTGAAACACTGCCATGTTCTGTATGAGGAAATATTTAAAATTTGCTCTAGTATGAGATCCCTTGCATAGAAATGTGTGATTCGAGGTGGGGTGGAGGAGGAATGCTAGGCTTAAAAGGAATCTGAACCTCTTCCTAGTCTTCAGTTTATTTATAATCATTTATTTAGAATCAAGTAACATGACGCCCCTTCCCCTCACTACATAGGTTTGTGTCAGCCCTTCTAATCTGCTTTATACATGAACTCAAATTTTCTTTTAGACCTTCGTTGGGTTAATATCCACATTGTTTCCTAGCCATTCATACTTTGTATCACTAGCCACACTGTAGCCCCAAGCTTCAAAAGGAAAAAGAAATGGATATGAAATCAACTAAATCAAAAAAATGTAAGCGTGACTAACAGAGCCCATGGGAGGAAAGCCTAGAGAGTCCTTTACCCTGACCTAACTTTATGAATGAAGACCCAAGGCTCTGCCACTGTTGCGATGATGTGCAAGGTAGCCCCAGAGCTCCCTGGAGCCAGTTCAAAACTCCTAACAAAACTCTACTGAATAAATAAAGCCACAGGTAGTTTGGGGACCTTCTGAAAATCCAATAGCAAGGAATGACTTTCACAAATGTATTGTTTTGTTTTGTTTTGTTTTCATCCTGCTACTAGAGATTGAATCCAGGACCTTTACACTGAGGTCCATCCCTAGCCCCTTTTTTCTTTCCTTTTCTTTTCTTTTCTTTTTTTTTTTTTTTTTTTTTTGAGACAGGGTCTCGCTTAATTGCTCAGGCTGGGCTCAAACTTGTGATCCTCCTGCCTCAGCCTTTCAGACTGCTGGGATTACATGAGTATGCCACCGTGCCCAACTACAAAGCTAACAGTTCTTCTGACTGTTACCCACATCATCTCATCCTTGCACACAAAACATTAAGCTGCATGGAAGGAGAGAGTGAGACCATCCACACTAGATCATCAGGCTCTAGGAATTCTAAAATGTCATGTGTCTGCATTCAGGGGCCCAGGCAGCAGGCATGAGTTGCTGGAACTCCAAGACAAACATGGCACAGCTTCCTGCTGGGCTGGTTTTACTCAACCTGGGGAAGAGGTGCACTGTACAGTAAGCTGAACGTGAATACAACATGGACAAAGCATCACTTAGCTGAATTTTTAGATCAATAAAATGACTGCAACAGAACTGCACTACTGATGCTTTCTGTTCTGTTCCCACGTCTCCTAAGCACCCATGTACCTTCTGCTGCCCGGGGTGCTCTGGAGAAAAGTCTCAATCCCTAATTTCTGTGTGGCTAATTCTAATGGGATTCCCATTGGACAGACAGGGAGAGTGAACCTGGGAGAAGGGAATCCCTTTGCCCAAGGTCAACACACAGCAGGAGAGGCAGAGCTGAGGAACAGCACCCTGACTCCAACAAGAGACACACAGCTTTCGCCACCTTTCCGGCTAAAATGATTCTGGGTCTCCGTGCTGCCCCACACTGCTATCTTAGGAATATACTTCCCTAAATGAAAAATACTTCCACAGACTCCTGATACCCAAGTGTTACTATTTTGGGGATGCCATTAATGACTCTTTCTGGGCCGCTGCTGATCTAATCTGCTAAGCAATCAGTGCAGCTGTTCAGGCGGAATAGAGACCAAAGCCCAGGGTTTGGTCCCTGGGACTTGCTGGCTTTTGCAGTTGTACCTCATCCCCCAGTGGCTGTCTGCCACTCTAGCCGCCACCAGACACCTCGCAGGAACTGTAGCTGTGCTAGACAGAATTGCAAGAACCATGCCTATCTGAACAGCAGCAGCCCCAGATTTCCACAGCCTGACATGCACAGCGAAGAATACATTCATAAAATGCTCGTGAAACTCAAATGAAAATGAGATCAGTGTGAAAGGTCTAAGAGGGAAAGGAAATAACCTCTCTCCTTATCCAACAAGGTCTTGAGAATCTCTGCAGCAAGTACAAAGGGCATGGAACCAAGATAAGAGGGAGGGTGGCAGAAAAACCTCTGAGTGCTCGAAGCCCTGACCAGGCACCTTTGACTATACTACTTTCTTATGTCACTACCTGGTTTGAGGCATGTCTCATACTTCTCTGTCTTTTAATATCTGCTTTTAATATCTGTTTTTAAATGTCAGAAATGTGCTAGCTGTGGTGCAGAGTTACAGATCCTTAGGCTCGCTGATTCATTTCTCCATCCTTCCTTGCACCCGCAGATTTTTTTCATTTTAAGTTCTTACAGTGTACTAGACTCTGAGAGGGATAGGAGGGAAAAATGAATCCCTTACCATTAAAAGCTGACCGTTGTGAGCTGAACGTGAATACAACGTGGACAAAGCATCACTTAGCTGAATTTTTAGATCAATAAAATGAGTGCAACAGAACTGCACTACTGATGCTTTCTGCTCTGTTCCCACGTCTGCTAGCAGTAAGACTTGCATTTCTAGGCCTGCGCTTTGGTAGACCACCCATAAATACTGGCTGGTTGAACTCAGGCAAGGAGATCTTTCGAATGAAAGGAGTTGGAATCTGGGAGAAAGAACAGACGGGGTACTTGCTGGTTAGGGCTGTCAGCTAGAGAACTGTGTCCGCTGCTTTCCCCCTCCAACCAGGAGAATGCATGCATCCCAGCTGCAGGGCGGGCAGGGTGGGAAAGAGGAAAGGGGCCTGGAGTCCAAACCCAACATGGCTGGAATGCTCAGAGTCTTCTGCTCTGCTGCTTGTGTGCAAGGACCTCAGTGTACAGAAGGAAAAGCCATCGTCCTGCTCGGCAATGAGGTGTTAACTTCAAAGCGGCACTGGGGCCTTTTAAACGGTAGAGTTACTGCTGCAACAAATCTCAAATAAAGCCTAGGAACTTTTTATTAACCCACTCACAGCATTCTTCATACTGGAACACAGAACACACAAGATCGCCAAAGAATTGCCCCCCCCCCATAGCCAAGAATCTCCCTCCCTTTTCAACCGCTCTGTTGTTTAACTTCCTAAGTCAAGCCTGTTCCAACAGCCTTTCTTTTCTCTGTCGCTCTTTTGAGCCCTTCTTCACTCCTCCACTGAGTTATTAGCTGTTCCTAAGACTGTTCTCTCCACGAAGGTCAGCTTTTAATGGTAAGGGATTCATTTTCCCCTCCTATCCCTCTCAGAGTCTAGTACACTGTAAGAACTTAAAATGAAAAAAATCTGTGGGTGCAAGGAAGGATGGAGAAATGAATCAGCGAGCCTAAGGATCTGTAACTCTGCACCACAGCTAGCACATTTCTGACATTTAAAAACAGATATTGAAAGCATTGAGTGATGCTGACATCAAACCTAAACTGTCACTGAAATGCATTCCATACCTATAAAACCTTGTAAAATGCTCTTTAAAGCTGTGCCCAGCCATTGTTACCTCACTTGACCTGAGGCTGCAGAGAGGGCCTGGCAAACAGGACTTGCCACCAGGACACAGATGCCCTGGTTCGCTGCCATGTTATTCCCCCTTCCCTGACACCTGTTCTGCTGCAGAGCCGGAATCTCTGTGTCCAACACACGGGGGAGGCCAGGGCAAAGACAGAAAAGGGGTAACAGACCAGGTTAGAAATGCATGAAGGTAAGCACACAGTCCTATCTCTGACCCCAGGTTAACTGCTGTCATTAAGGTCATAGTATTTGCTTGGAGTGAAGCAACACAGTGAAATTCACACCTGAGTTTCTAGACGAGTGGATAGGGAGCTAGTATGTCAGGTGTCAAGGGTAATAGATACAGACTGGGGATGCAGGCAGTGATAGAGGGCCTGCTTGGCATGCGCAAGCCTGAATCTAATAGGTAAAATTCAGGAGCCAGCAGGGCTGGTGGTGTCTTG